GGTGTTTCGTAAAGTTCGGCCTCTCCTCCTCCGACCGAGGAGGAGGAGGAACAAAAAGGAGGAGGAGGAGGAGGAGGAGGAGGAGGAGGAGGAGGAGGAGGAAGAGGAGGAGGAGGAGGAGGAAGGAGGAGGAGGAGGAGGAGGAGGAGGAGGAGGAGGAGGAGGGGCCCTCGCCCGGCCTCGGGGCCGTCACAAAAAAAACGACGCGGGATGCAGAGCCGGTCCGCCGCGCTGCGGCGCGACGTGCCGCCCGCGTCCCCGCTGGGAGCCCCCGCCCCAGCCGAGACGGCCGACGCGCGGCGTCCCCCCGCGCCCCCCGGGGCCCAGACCCCCTCGAGTAATGAAAAAATCATGACGGGAGGTTTTTCGCCATTTTCGGCCTCTGGGGGCCCTCACTGGGCCTCGGGAGCGTCAAACAACGACTCAGGGTGACAAACCGGTCCTGGGGAAGGGGTCGAGAACTCTGGGGTCGACGTAATGAAAAATTCAGTACGTCGGGGGTCTGGGGGGGCGGCCCAGGCCCGGCTTCCGGTGGCAGCTCGCGGGCCCTCACTCCGGATCCGCCCTTAATTATTTGGGGAGACTCGTAAGTGGGGCCTGGCATGTCCGCCCGACTTTTCGAGCCCCGCTGATGCCAGTTTCCGCCCTAGTTTTTTTTTGTTGTTGCTGTTTCTGCCCTGCTTCCGTGGATCTCCGCCCTACTTTTGTGTTAGGTGCAGAAATTTCCGCCCTACTTGTTCGGCCTCTTCTAGGCGGATTTCCGATGCAACTTCAAGGTGGAACAAAAAGCCAAAGTGGGGCGGACCGGGAGCCGGGGTGGGGGGCGGCCCAGGCCCGGCATCCGGTGGCAGCTCGCGGGGGCCTCGCGTGCCATCCTGCTGGCCTCCTGCGAATCGACGCTGGCCCGTGCCAGCCGACGCCAGGCGACGCTGAAGCGGCATGTTTTCTACCACCACCACCACAAGTTGGAGGGGGGAAGGAGGTGGAGGAGGAGGAGGAGGAGGAGGAGAAGGAGGAGGAGGAGGAGGAGGAGGAGGAGGAGGAGGAGGAGGAGCCCCTCCCCATCCTACTCATGGTGGTGGTGGTGGTGGTGGTGGAAAACGAGCCCACCAGACGGTGAAGCGGCGCTAAAGCGACGCCAATCGTCCACCTCCCTCGGGCAGTGGCGAGGCGTCCCGGCTCGCCTGTAACTGAGGCCCACCAAGGACCGCTCTAAGAACCTTGTGTGGTTTGCACGAAATCTTATGGCACACTTTCTGGCAGAGACTGCCTTGTTTTAGTACATCGGCCTGTATGTTCTAAGAGCACTGTTTTGTTATAAGGACGCTCTCTTGTTCTACGAGAATTTCGCGGTAGGCCTTTAAGAAGTGCGGGGGCGCTCGGTTCCTGCTCAAGGGCTACCTCCCGCCCCCTGCACAGCGGCGACCACGGAAAGGTCTGCGATCGGCGCCGCTGGGGCCTGGGGGGCATGGCACTGTCCTCGTCGGGCCTCCTCGGGGCGCGGCGGAGAATTCCAGACCCAGAGATCCGATGTCTTGTTTTTTCAATACGGGGTCGTGATTTCTTCAATACGGGGCCCCCGGAAGTCTCGACCCACTCCCCAGGACGGGCTTTTCACCTTGAGTCGTTTTTTGACGGTCCCGAGGCCCGGCGAGGGCGTTTACGGGCCGAAGTGTGCGAAAAACCTCCCTTGTGATTTTTTCAATGCTTTCAAAGTATTGAAAACATCACATGGATCCAAAGTAAGGATCAAACGTATCAAACAAATCCTCAGAGATCCAAAGTAACTTTGGATCTCTGAGGATCGAGGTCCCTGCTCAACCCTGGCCCGCGCGGAGCGGAGCGACACGCGACCCGCTCGCGGGGCACAGCGCGCTGTGGTCGGGGGGGCGGCCCGCCGACGCGCGGAGCAGAAGTTCCCGGCCCCAGAGGCTCCCCCGTGCCCCCAGGGGGAGCAAGCTGGGCGGGGCGGGCGGCACAGGTGGTCTTGCCTTCCTGCTCCTGCTGCTCCTGCTGCTGCTGCTGCTGCTCCTCCTCCTCCTCCTCCTCCTCCTCCTCTTCCTCCTCCTGTTCATCCTGCTGCTGCTGCTCCTGCTCCTGCTGCTGCTGCTGTTTCTCCTCCTTCTCCTCCTCCTCCTCCTCTTCCTCCTCCTCCTCCTCCTCCCCCTCTCACTCCCCCTCCTCTTCCTCCTCCTCCTCTCCTCCTCTCCTCCTCCTCCTCCTCCTCCCCTTACCCTTACCCTTGCCCTTCTCTTCTCTCTCCTTCTCTTCCTCCTCCTCCTCCTCCTCCTCCTCCTCCTCATTATCCTACTCGGCGTTGGAGCTCAGGCAAATTGAGCCCCGACGGAGGGAAGATTTTCATTCACCCCTGCAGCCCCTCCGATACCGCACTCCTTTGCGATCCTCTAGAGTTACTGGGTGGTGATCCGGTAATGGACATATGTTGTGCCGCATCTTTCATCTTTCCAATTTTCGATATGAGATTTGAGTGCGACCTTGAAAATCGACGAGCCAAAGACGCAGAGAACGGATCCGCCGTGCCCATGTCCGGAAATGCCAGTTTGCCAGGATTACAATATGTGAGCAGGTGATTGCACACGCCCTGGGGCCCTCTGCTTGTTGGACAATTTCGGCAGAAAGAGAGAGGGCGCAGGAGCCGCCGGCACAGGGTGTGCAGATGGGTGCCGACATCGATGTGGAAACAGCGACGGCGAGAGGGGCGGGCAGACGGTAGCGGTAGTTTGCAGAGCTTGCTCGGCCCCCTCTTCCCCTTGCGTCCCGCGGGGCCCAGGGGGAAGAGCTGCCAGGGGAGTTTGCAGAACCGCTTCGGCTTCCCTCGGCACCTGCGCCCGCTCGGGCCCAGGAGCAGCTTGCCCCTGCTACAAGCGAATCCAATCGTTTGACACAGCTGTTCCACGAGATAGAAGAACAACTGCACTCATGGAATTCGATTGGCCATGCTTCGCACTCGTTTGGTACGCTGGCGAGCCACGCTGGACGACGCAAGCCCGAGGGAAGTTGGAGGCCCCGAGGTTCAGGGGCAGCCGACTGGTGCCGATGATGAACTTCGAAAACCCATGGTCCTCAAAGGTGGCCCTGAGATCACGGCGCTTCTGGGATTCGTCAGCTTTGCAGCGGCCCGCGAAGGAATCACTTAGGGCGTCTTGCAAACACTGCGCGCGCAAAGGGGGGGGGGTCCATTGTAGAATTCGTTGAAGCATTCGGATTCTTGCTTCGCAAAGGGGTTGCTCAGGCGCTCAGGAGATAGAGTAGGGAATCGAGGCAAAGGGGCCGGCAAAATTTCCCAACGGGGGCACCCTTATGGCCTCTTAGTGGATAAAGGCACAGCTGTTGAAAGGTGCGTCATCGAAGAGCGGACGCGGAAGCGCTGCGGGCGAACTTCGGACGGCATCTATGACATTATGTGGGACAATGTTGGCCAATATGTTTCCGCGGATGAATTGCGGCGCCAATTGGCCCACGGCGGCGCAATCCGTACTTTACCAGAAGTGGAATACGCGGAAGAATATGAGTTTTTGCCAGGCTGGGAGACAAGTACGCAACTGCCGGCACGTGAAGATTAAAGCGCAGGCCAATATGCGCACCTAACTTGGAGACAAAAACACACGCGCAGCCATTTATTTCTTTGGACGGAGACGTCGCGCGAATCTTCGGCACGCGCCGCACGTTTTCCCAGATTCTCTGAATTATTGAGCGCGACCTTGCAGAAGACGGCAAGGCGAAGTTACAGGCGAGCCGGCGCGAGGTGAAGTCAACTAGAGCAGGGGCCGCGCATTTCTGAGCGCGTTTGGCGCGGGGGAAAGCATCTGTCTTGGCGCAGGGGACGCCGATTGAATTTGCGAGGGCACCTCGGAGTGCATGATGCCCCCCTCTCTTCTTTTCCTCGGTCCTCTTCTCCGCGTGATACAAAGAGGAATTTGGCTCGCGAGTTAAACAAAGGCTCAGGGAACACTCCTTGCGCAGGCCCGCTCGCACGCGCCATTTGCACCGCGGTGCCAGCGGCGCCCCCCCCCTTGGATTCATCGGAGAGCTACTGACTGGCAACGCAGGGCCCCCTGCGAACGGGCCGCGCGCTCGCCCGTGGTGGAGGAGAGGGGGGCGGGGTGAGGGCTCGGAGCGTGAAGGGCAGCGCGCGCGCCTCTGAGCAGGCCTTGGCAGTTCCCTCGGTAAGATGGTGAAGGGCTGTCGAGTCCTCGCTGCGTAACACTCACGCCTTAGCGGGCGCGTTGACGTTGACCCCCTCATGTGGATGTCCTGTCCTGTCCTGTTATGTCCTGTCCTCCTGCTCCTCCTCCTCCTCCTCCTCCTCCTCCTCCTCCTCCTCCTCCTCCTCCTCCTCCTCCTCACCATCATCATCCATCCTTTTCCTTATGAGTAACGCTTCCCCGTCGCATCCCGAGGCCAGTTCGTGGGGCGGGCCGGGCGTTTCGCCTGAGGCATCCTCACCATTTATGATTATCAAACTTAACACTTTGCAAGAAGTTCACGGATTAAGGGCGGTCGTTTTCAAAATGCGGTGTTCGCCTTAGCGCGGTGACATTCGTTTCTAGACTTTGCAAGAGTTTCACGTATGGAAGGCGTTTCCTTTTTCAACATGCGGTTCTCGTTTTAACGCGGCGCACGTTAGTTTTAACACATCGCAAGAGTGTCACGTATTCCCACCATCAGCGTGCCAGATATGTGGTTGTGAAAGGATTCGGGATTATGTTGGTGCAGCAGTTATGTTGATTCGCTGTGTTGTGGCGTTCTGGCACGACTCAGGATTGCCAAGTTGCAACAATCAGGTTGATCCGTGGCGTTAGAATCCCGAGAACAATGTTTTGGCATGCTTCGGGATCTTCAGACGGTTGTCATCCAAAGGGGCGGTTCCTTCAATGGAAATGAACAGTTGTAGTGTAGTGGCCTTGGAAAAAAAGAGCTTGGAGGGAGGGTTTATCCCAACATCGCTGGTGGCTCTTAGGTTTACACTAGTCCTCTTTCTCCTCCTCCTCCTCCTCTTTCACCTCTTCCTCCTCCTCCTCTTTCTCCTCCTCCTCCGCCCTTGTCATCCTCCTCCTCCTCCTCCTCCTCTTCCTCCTCCTCCTCTTCCTCCTCCTCCTCCTGGCTCGGCAAGGTTGGACCGCCCGCGGAGATCACGGAACAGATCTCCTCGGCCAACAGCCGCGCGGTCTTCCTCGAAGACAGCAGCGAGGCGCCAAGAAAAGCCCGCAGGAGTGTTGTTTTTTTCCGTTGGGGCGGGAGGGCCGTGATCGCAGCAGTCAGGATGGCAACGAAGGGTGCGGCAGTGGCGCACGCAGCAGACCCGCAAACGTGAAGCCCTCCCTTTTTGGCTCCTGCTCGCGTTCTGCGTCGCGCGCTGCGCGCGTGAGCATAACACTCTGCACACGCCTCCGTCGGCCATGGTGTTCTGCGGGGGCTTGCGTTGTCGTGGACGGTCGCGCGAGGTCCACCTGGTTTCCCAGCTGTGTCCCGATGGCGTGCGCTGGGTGGTCGCGCGCGGCGTCCCAATGTGGATGAGGAGGCAGTCGAAGGGATGCCGTCCGTGCACTGTCTCGGGCTGTCTCCCCGTCGATGTGTTCCACGTGTTGTCCCTTCTTGGGAATGCCCTGCGTGGCGCCTTGTATTGAAGGCAAGAGTGGCCATCATTCTGTGAGCCGCGTGTGTGTGTGTGTGTGTGTGTGTGTGTGTGTGGCAGGTCTGCTGACAAGCGTGTTCAAATGGCAGCGGGGAGAGGCAAGGGAACCTGCAGGAAGAGAAGCAGCCCCAGTGCACGCCTGGTGTTAGTCGGAAGCCGGGCGTGCCCCTCTACAGCAAGAGGAATATTCAAAGAGGATCCAAAAGTGCTTTGGGACGCTTTGTCTAGCATTTTTGACCTCTTCGCGCATTTATGACTAGTTTTGCACATGTTGTTTGACTATCTTTCGTTTCTCCTCCAGACTCCCCCTGTAGGGGGACATGGCCCGACGTGGCGCTCGTCCTGCGATGGCGGCGCGGTGGAGACGGCCCCCCCCCGCCCACCACAGCCGATGGGAGGGGTGGGCGCGAGACAAAATGTCTGGGACTCCAGGGCACGGCCGAGAAACAACCTAGCAGCGACCCAGACATCCCACGTCTCGATTTTTTCGAGACGCGGGCCCCTGACCTCCCGACCACTTTCCTGGGACCGGTTTTTCATCCCGAGTCGTTTTTTGACGGTCCCGAGGCCCGGCGAGAGCCCCGAGAGGCCAAAAGCTATGAAAAACCGCTGCCTCGATTTTTTCGAGACGCCCGATGTCTGGGGATGCAAGGCCGATCGACCGCAGGACACGCACCCCCAGCGCCCGCGAGCGAGCTTGACGAGGTGGCAGTCGGCGGCGCTGCCCTCCAAGCGGCGCGCGGCGGCGGTGCTCCTGCGGAGCAGCAGGGGCGGGGGCGGGCAGCGGGCGAGGCCGGCCGTGCCCCGGGGCCGACCGCGGCACCGGTCGGGTGCTGCCAGGAGTGCCCCTGGGGAGGAGGAGGAGGAGGCAAAGGTTGAGGAGGAGGAGGAGGAGGAGGAGGAGGAGGTTTCGGAGCCCCCGGGGCCCTCGGGGCCTTGCGAGGGGTGCCCCGGAGGCCGTCTGGGCCACCCCGAGAATCCTGGGGGGCACCTTGGGCGAGCGGTGCTTCTGGCAGCGCCCGAGCCGGAGGTGCGGCCGCGGAGGTGCGGCGCGCGGGGGGGGCGGTGGCGAAGAGGGCCTCGGCGTCGTTCGGACGCGTGCACGTTTTCGGGGTGGGCCATCGAGGATCGTCCTGGATCGTCGAGCGAAGCAGGCCCGCGCGAAGCCGAAGCCTGCACGGGGAGTGGGCGGCCGAGCGACGGCGAGGGGGTGCGGCGCGCGGGGGGGGAGGCGAAGAGAGCGCAGGCCGCGCCGCGTGGGCGGTGGCGGCTCCGACCGTATAGCCCCAGAGGCACCGCGGCAGCTGGCAGCGCCGTGTGCGGTGCCAGGGCGCGGCGGGCACGGAGGCACTGCACTCGGTCGGCGGAGACGGTGTCCCATCTATAGATGGGGCACTTCACTCGGTCTCCCTCCTGCGTGCTGCGCGACGGCTCCCTTCCCCCGCCCTCCTCGCCCATTCTGCGGTTCCTCAGGCCAGGGCGGGCTCGCGCTGGTCCAAAACGCAATTCACAAATTCGTGAAACACATACTTTCTTGGCGCTGGTGTCGGCTTTTTGTTCTTCCAATCTAGGTGGCGCACTCGGTGCCCCAAGTCGGCCCCCCTGGCGAACATGCCACGTGTAGCAAGTGAACCAGTGCTGGCACTGTGTAGGCTGCCTGCGGCAGGTCCCGCAGGCGTGCAGGCCATGTGGCGTTCTCGGATGCAACAGTGGGAGCAAGTGGGCCAGTGCTTTGGCAGGGCAGCTATTTCGATCGTACGGCACTCAAACGTTGCGCGCATATGAAACACAAGCTGGCCAGCTTTGTTACCCGAATCAACAAAAAGTATGGCGCAAGCGCGGCATACGATTGACTACTACCCCATGCCAATGCGAAGCTCGTTTGACTGCGGGAGGTGTTCGTGGTGGACGTCTGCGGGACACATGCGAGACATGGGCAAGTGTGACACCTCAGCGGTGTTCGAATTCACAAGGCGACTGTCGATGCGCATTGAAGTTTAGTATGCTGTTGAATGGAGCAAAGATGTCGGAAACGCAAGTGTTCGTTGATGGCAACACTGGCATGAACGTTGATGCCCACGTGGTATATACTTGCAGAGCCAGCGCGCACGATGCCCATGAAACATACATCCTGCGCAAGCGATGCGCAGGCACTTGTATAGTAAGTTGGGAGCGGTTCCTGGTCGAGGGATGCCGTGGCCCGCCCGCAGACGCGGGCAGTCGCGAGGGGGCAAGGGCCCTCGGCAAATTACGAGGCACACGTGAAGCTGGCGCCGCTGTTTCAAGGCAGTGCGGGTGCGTCGCGGATCTGTTTCGGCGGGGTGGCCGGCGAATCGCGCGGCGGGTCGCGGGTGGATCGTGGGCGTGCCGCGGGCGGGTCGCGCGGTAGGTCGCGGGTGCGGGGCAGGTCGCGGGCGGGTCGGGGGGGGCGGGGCGCCGGTGGGTCGCCGGGTGGGGCCAGCGTGAAGTCGGGCACGCCCCTCCACAGGAGGAATCTTCAAAAATAGTCCACAAACTATTCGGGGGACGACTTCCCGAGGATGTTTTGGCCAGCTTCGGGGCAGTTCTTGTCTATTTTTGTGTTGTCTCTCAAAATCCACCCGTAGGAGGACATGCCAGGCCGAAGGCCAGCGGGAGTCCGCACCGCAGCCAGGCACCCAGGGACAGTGTGAGATTGCTCGGTCCCCTCGCTCTGATCCCGTGGCACCGCTGGTGACTCCGCCGCCGCGCTGGGGCGGGTGCCGGAGGGGAGGGGCTAAAAAACGGAGGGGCAGGAGGGCAGGTTCTAGAGGAGCGGCCCTCCAAACCTGCAGCTTTGACGCCATGCTTTCTCGTGGCGTAGAACAGTGTGTGGACAATTATCTGGACCCATCTGTTCGGCATGCCCACCCCCGCCCCATGCACGAACTTCTATGTACGTCCATCCGGTCACAGGTTTAGAATAGAGCATACCCATTTGCGCGATATGACAGCGAAGCGCACATGGGTGCGACGTCACTGCTCCTCTAGCCTTTCGCGTGCCAGAGATGAAACGCCTTTGCACTTCCACCAAGATCGTGATGATCGAATATAATGCTCACATCGCGGCTAGAGGGATGCATGGAATGAGGTGGCGCGCGTACGTTTGGGCGGGCTTTTGCTCATTGGAGTGGAACGCATCACGCCTTCTTGCAACGACGTCCTCTATGTGCTGTGCGCGTGGCCCATCGCAGGTTTGCAGTATCATCAGTGTCTGTCACGGCGTGCATTTGAAATTCATGAGAAGAGTTCTGATGTGAAGCGTGCTCCCAGGAGAAGAAGCACGTCTGGAGGGGGGGAGGGCGCTGGAGCCGCTGCTGTCTTTGCATGACGGTTCCGCCTGCATGTGCTGAAGCAGGTTTTCAGCAAACCCTTGTGGTGACGAGTTTGCCTGTCAAGTTGCGTGACTTTTGCGCCACACCTCACATGCGTGAGATTGCTCCCATTTATCCCAAACCAGGGCCCCACAGGGTTCAGGAGGCAACCCGCTCTTCCGTCCTCTCGCTTGACGCCCCCCTGGGTGGTACAGAGTGCGGCTGGTCGACACCGGCTTCCCTGGACTGCGTCAGCGCCGAAGTACGGTCCGTTGCCCTCCTCCCGCCAGGGGCCACGGCGGGGGGGAGGGGGCTTGCCCCGGGGAGCGCGCATCGGGTCGGGCGGGGCTAGGACGAGGATGAATCCCCCTAGGGCCAGCCTCCCCCCCCTCCCCGCGCTACCCATCCTCACCGCCCTCCGTCGGCGGAGGCAGGAGGAGGGAGGAGGGAGGAGGGAGGGGGAGGAGGAGGAGGAGGAGGAGGAGGAGGAGGAGGAGGAGGAGGAGGAGGAGGAGGAGGAGGAGGAGGAGGAGGAGGAGGAGGAGGAGGAGGAGGAGGAGGAGAGGAGCGAGGGGAGAGGAGGAGGGGGGAGAGGAGGGGGAGGAGAGGAGGAGGAGGAGGAGGAGGAGGAGGAGGAGGCGGAGGAGGAGGTGGAGAGGAGGAGGAGGAGGAGGAGGAGTTGAAGGAGGAGGAGGAGGAGGAGGAGAAGAAAAAGAAGAAGAAGAATAAGAAGGAAGAAGGAGGAGGAGGAGGAAGGGGGAGGAGGGCGGAGGCGGAGGCGGAGGGGAGGAGGAGGAGGAGGGGAGGAGGAGGAGGAGGAGGGGAGGAGGAGGAGGAGGAAGGAGGAGGATGGGAGTGGAGGAGGATGGGAGTGGAGGAGGATGGGGTGGAGGGGAGGGGAGGAGGAGGAGGAGGATGAGGAGGAGGAGGAGGAGGAGGAGGAGGAGGGGAGTGGAGGAGGAGGGGAGGAGGAGGAGGAGGAGGAGGAAGAGGAGGAGGAGGAGGAGGAGGAAGAGAGAGGATGGAGGAGGAGGAGGAGAGGAGGAGGGGGAGGAGGGGGGAGGAGGGGAGGAGGAGGAGGAGGGATGAGGGGAGGAGGAGGAGGAGGAGGAGGAGAGAGGAGGGGGAGGGGGAGGAGGAGGACCAGTGCAAAGCCAAGACTCATCAACGATGCTGAACGACACCCTACCTCCAAGATCCCCCTTTCATAGGCCCATCCAAGGGTTCAGTCTCATTGAGGGGAGTGCCCTGTTAGAAGACAGCTGCTTGACAATCCGCAGCTGTGCCAGAACACCATTCCTGGAGTTCAACGCCGCGAATCACTGTTACTGCTGCGTCTTGGCGGTCTTAAATCGTGCCAGAAACCATTCCTCGGATTTCAACACCACGAATCAATGTGACTGCGCTGTGTCATTCCGACATCGTGCCACACTTCAATTTCTAGGGCGTTAATCATTCGAACCCTTGAAACTGCTGCAAACTCTTAAGGCGAATGTGCGCGGCGCAAAGGCGAGACCAATAGTTTGAAAATGAACCGCCCTCCGTCCGTGAAGCTCTTGCGAATGCGTAAGACGAGTGCGCGCGGCGCGAAGACTTAGCCCTCCGTCCGTGAAGTGTTCTTGCGGATGTGTAGGACGAGTGTGCATTGCGCTTAGGCGACTGATGCATTTTGAAAACGGCCCGCCCTGCCGTGAGATCCCTGCAATATGTTGCGACGAAAGTGCGCGGCGTTGAGGCGAGAGCCGCATTTTGAAAGCCACCCGCCCTCCATCCGTGAAGCTTTTGCAATGTTGTAAGAGGAATATGCACGGTGCTAAGGCGAGAGCCACATTTTGAAAACCACCCGCCCCCCGTGTGTGAAACTGCTGCAGCTTCTAAGCTTCAGGGTCGTAAATGGCGAGTAAGTCTCTGGCGAAATTCCCGGCCGCATTTTCGACCGGCTTTGGGGTGCGACACGGAGGATTCATTTAGAAGGACGAGGGATGGAGAAGGAGGGGGCAGGAGAACTCCTCCTGCTCCTCCTCCTGCTCCTCCTCTTCCCCCTCCTCCTCCTTCCGTGGCCATTTTGGCCCAAGCTTTGGCTCAGGGGTGGTCTGCGCGACCCGCTCGGCCTCGCGCTCCACCCGACCCGTCCTTCGGGTTTTCCTGCTCCCGCCTCTCCGCGGCTCGCCGCGGCCGCATCTCTCCTTTGCCCCCGTCTACAGCCATGGCGGGAGTTGCGGCGCCAGTGATGCTACACAACGATGTGGTTTCAGTGTCCAGCCAATCTCCTCTGCCCAGCGGCCCGCAGGTACTTCCTGGGGACAGCCGCGTGCTTTCGACCCACATTGCGAGCCTCCAGGATATCGTTCGGCAGTGTTTCACCACTCGCACAGCTGAGTTTGCATGGCTGAAGAGCCAGATGTCGGCCCTCGGGACTAACTTCAATCGCATGCAGGATGAGTTTGCGAGGGTAGCAGTGCGCCAGGAGGAACACTTCGCTGAGATCAAGCGTGTCCAGAACTAGGCCATCCACCAGGTAGTGATCGACACTGATGCAAAGCTCGCGTCCACGTCTGAGGATATCAAGTCGCAGCTGAATGATCTGAGGGCTGTGTTATCGTCAGGCTCGTCGACCCGTGCCAATTCGGAGTTCGAGATCGTGGGGGGGGGGGGGGGGCGAAGAAGGGGGTCGACGGAATATTGCGAAGACTTCAGGATTTGGCCAAGCCAGCGCCACTCGTCTCACCTTTCTCGGTTTGGAGAAGCCATGTCTCGAGGCCCCGCTGAAGGATGCGTTTCGACCCATCGTTGCACGGTGCAGCCCCATGGGAGAGGAACCGATCGCTCGCGCACTCGCTGACAAGGAGGGTGAGATTCGACTTCTCGTCCACCCTCGCACGTTCAGTTTTCTTCAGGAAGAGCGAGCCCCAGCATTGGGGAGACTGTGTACCAGAACCCTATCGATGGCCCTGGTTGGGAGCTTCGGGTTCGTCGCGATCCCCCCCCCCCGCCAGTCGGAAACTCTTGTGCCACCTTGGACAGGCCGGGACTATCATTGGAAAAATCTGGAGGAGTTCACGGTCGGGGGCAGCGCCCTGGGGGAGCAGATCCACGGTCAGCCCACTCCTGTGCACCCTGGCAAAGGTCACGATCTCTGAGAATGGTGCGCCCGGTCTCCTGCGCGACCCTGGCGGCCTGAGTCTCTTTGGTAAGGGGCGCAGGCTGCGCCCAGGTGCTCTTTGACCGCAGTCGTCGGCTTGCGCGAGGGGCCCAGCTGTTCTGGGGTTCCCTGCCTTGGGACCTCGGGCGCCCCATCTGGCTTTTTGTCCGCTTTCCTCGGATCCCTGGCCCTCCTTCGGGAGGGGGGCTGCCTGGGGCGGGGCCCGGGACTTGTGCGCCCGCCGTTGGCCAGTGCGGGGCTCAGTCAGCCAACCGTAGTTTTGATTTGAATTCGGGAAGTGGTTCACACCTCGCGACCCGCCCCCTGGGCGAATGGGGCATCCCCCCCAACCCCCCAGGCGAGGAGGCCCAGGAGGCGCTCGGCCCCGCGGCCACTGGCGCCCGCCAAGGAGGTCGCCTACTCGGAGGGCCCAGCGCCAGGCCCGAGGGAGGCATCGGCGAGGGGGGCGCCAGGTGACCGCATCCTTGCGATGGGTTCGCGCGAGCCTCTGCTGCGCGCGCGGCAGCTAGGAGCAGGGACTTCTGGCGACTGATAGGGCGCGCGCCCGCAGCTGTCCACAGGGCCGTCGCCAGTGGGGCCGAGGGGGAGATTTGGGTCGGCTGGGCGGCTTCGGAGTCAGGGCGCGCGGCGCGGGCCCGGAGAGGGGGCCGCTCACTGAGCTGCCAGAGTTCGGGGGCCCTCCGCCAATCGCCCGGGCGCAGCCGAGGTCGAACGACGAGCGCCCCGTCGCTGGGCGACGGCGGATTGCAAGCACCCCTGCGCACCGCCGGAGAGGGGGGGGCCGGCGCCGCTGCCAGACGCGCAGGAATGCGACGGGGGGCCGCCGGCGCGGCCCAGTCTGCGAGGAGGGAGGCCACTAAGATGCGAGGGGCTGTTCCAAGAGCCCCACCGTCGCCCCGCGAGACAGAGCAGGGCCGCGCAGGGCGCGCGGGAGAGCAGGGCGACAAGGAGACGCGGGCCGCGCGGACGGCGGAGGGCCGCGGGCAGCCAGGTGCGTCCGACGGCGGGAAAGGGCCCAAGCCGCGAGGGGGGCCCGACGGCGCCTCGGCGGCAGCGGCTCCGGGGGCGCCGGCGCCGAGCACAGCGCGCTCGCGCGGGGCGGGCGGCCGCGCCGCCTGCTGGGCTGCCCCTGCCTGGGGCGCAGCGACTCCGCGTCGCAGCGGCGCCCGGGCCTTGCTGCAACAAGTGCGCGGGCGAGGATTGGGCGATTGGCGGCGCGAGCCACTATCGAGGTCACTGCGAGAACTCCTCCATGGCGGGCCAGCCACAGGGCAAACCAGACAGCGGCAGCCTCAGTGACGAGCGCCCGCCCCCGTCGCCCGAGACGCCGGCGCGCCGTGGGCAGGGGGGTGCGAAGCTGGGCGCGAGGGGGCCGCTCGGCGGAAGACGAGGAAGAACGCGTCGTGCATCGGTTCGAGGGCGAGGCCGCCGATGGCGGAAGCGATGGAGGGGCCAGAGTCCCGCGACGAGGTGCTGAGGCGCATGGGCCGCGCGGCGGTGGGGCGCAAGTGCCTGGAACTGGCCCGCCGCGCGCAGGCTCGCTCCGCGGGGAGCGGGGGCGCGGCGTCGGGCCTGGGCCTCGAGCCGCTGGAGCGGGCAGAGGCAGGGGCGCGCCTGGCCAGATCCTGGTCGGCCGAGGGCCAGCGCGAGCGGGATAGGGGAACGAAAGGTGGCATGAACATTGAAACTCGGAGGTCCGCGCGGATTTCTCGGATCGGCGCTGGGCCCTCCTCCCCGGCGCGCGGGGCGCGCCAGGGGCGGCGCCGGAGGCGCCGCCGGGGGGCCCCGGCGCCGATCCGAGAAATCCGCGCGGACCTAGGATTGCAAAAAAACCCAGGATTGCAAAAAAAAAAAAAAAAAAAAAAAAAAAAAAAAAAAAAACAAAACCGAAGGATTGCAAAAAAAAACCATTGAAACGGAAGGATTGCAAAAAAAAAAAAAAACATGATTGCAAAAAAACCATGTTTTTTTTGCAATCCTGGGTTTTTTTGCAATCCTTCGAGTTTTTACGTTTATGTTATTTTTTGGTCCCCCGCGGGGGGCCCAGTCCGCGCCGCCGCGCTCCGTCAGGGATGCCGCGGCTCAGCCGCCGAGGGAGGGGCGGGGGCCGCGGCCGGGCCCTCGATGGCTGGCCGGCGGCTTCGGCGGCCAGGCGCGCCCAGCTGGGTCGGCGGCCCTCCGGGAGCGCGCCCACTGCCCAGACCCCCTCGAGCAATGAAAAAATCACGACGGGAGGTTTTTCACCATTTTCGGCCTCGGGGGGCCCTCGCCGGGCCTCGGGAGCGTCAAAAAACGACTCGGGATGACGAGCCGGTCCTGGGGAAGGGGTCGAGAACTCTGGGGTCGACGTAATGAAAAAATCATTACGTCGGGGGTCTGGGTCGGCGGCCCTCCGGGAGCGCGCCCACTGGCTCGCGCGGGAGGCGAGCAGAGCCAAGGGAGAACGGGGCATCGAGGCCAGGCGCCGACTGGATGCTAGCTGCTAGCTTGATCAACCAAGTGGCCCGACGCGCACCGAGAGCCGCGGCTTCGAATCGGGCCCTCAGGATGGCGAGGCCAGGGGCCGCATCGATCCAGGAGCGATCTCCCGCTGCTTGGGGGGGGCAAGGAGCTCGGGGAGCGCCGGTCCAAGAGCGCCCAGCACCTCGTCGCACCTGCAGGCATTCGCGAGGGGGGCCAGAGGGGGGGGGCAGGCGGAGTGGCTCTGGAACAGGAGGAGGCGCAGGCGCAAATCGACAAGCTGGCGGAGATCTGGGGCTACCCGGGCCAGCGGGCAGGCCGGCTCGAGGGCCGCGGCAGCGCTGTCGCCGGAGGGGGCCGAAGGGCGGTGGGCAGGCGCCAACGCCCAGATCGAGGAAGAAAGGGGGACCGAGAGCGTCGAGCTGGGGGTGCACCATCGTAACCTGCTGGGGCCGGAGGCGGTGCCGGGCGAAGCCCGACGGCCTGATCCCGACGGACTTGAAGACGCGCGAGGACTGGGGGGGGCCGAGTTGAAGCTCGTCCTGGACAAGCTGGCGAGCTTCGCCATCAAGTCGCGCATGCGGGGCCGGCGCCGGCTGTTTTTCTTTTGCAGGGCGCGCGGGCTAGCCCTGCAGGGAAGTCACCCTGGCCAACAGGAGGGGCGACGAGGAGCTGTTGCTGGAGTTCGTCGCGCGCTTGTCTACGCGCGGCCGCAAGAGGCCAGCGCCATCAATCAGTATCTCAGCGCGGCCCGGGCCCGGCACCTCTCGGCGCGGGCGATCTGACTGACGGTGTCGGGGGGCTCTGTGGATCCGGAAGAAGCTGCGGCCAGAGAGGTCCCGCGAAGGAGCGGCTCTCTGGGCGGCAGTTACTTCTTTCTCCTGAGGGCGAGCGAGTGCGTGTTGAGCGACCAGTGCGGCTGCGCGAGCAACGAGGGCCTGCAGGGCGTGGAGGTCTCGCCATAGACAGGACGCGAGCCGTGCAGGAGCTGGCTCGAGGCAGATGAGGTGGCCATCGAAATTCGGACCCGCACAATCGCGGGGAGTGGCGCAACCGCTTCAAGGTCGACGCGAAGGAAGGCGAGGAGGCCGAGGCCCGCGTGAGCGTCGTGGAGGCGAAGGAGAGGTTCTCAGGCGTGAAGATGCATGACCCGCTGCTCGCCTTCAACGATGAGAAGCTCGTCGCGCGGGCGGACGTCCAGAGGGCGGTGGTGCAGGCGGCCGTGGCCGAAGGACTGGGCCCGAACGACCTCGGCTCCCGCAGCCAGAGGATCGGGGGCGCGTCTGCCCTGAGCGCGGCGTTCAAACGCACGGCGCTCGTGAGGCGGCGGGGGCGCTGGAACAGCGACTCGTTCCAGGACTTACTCTAGGAGGCGAGAAACATGGCGCAGGGCGTGGCCAGCAGCATGGCGACCGCGGATCTGCCCATGATCTGAGGAGGAGGAGGAGGAGGAGGAGGAGGAGGAGGAGGAGGAGGAGGAGGAGGAGGAGGAGGAGGAGGAGGAGGAGGAGGAGGCGCGCCGGGCAGCCGCAGCGGGGCCTTTGAGGCTCAGGCGCAGGGGCAGTGTAGACGGCTGTGCAGGCCAGAGGCAGCAGCGCAGGGGAGCCTCGCAAGGCTCGATGAGGCGGCGGCTCCGGCAGCAGCAGTACGAGCCGGGTTGCGCAGCACCGCGGCTGCTGGAATTTCCAGGGCGGTTGGCGCCAGCGGCAGTTTCAGGTCGCATGGGCGCCAGAGGTGGATGGGAGTGCTGGGAAGTGGCAAGGCCCCTTCCTCCAGTGCAGGCGGGGGCACTTGAGGGGTGTCCCGCGGCCTGCGCCGCGCGGCGGAGGCGCCGGAGGAGCTCTCTAGCGTGCCGAGCGCCACCGGGCCACGAGGCAAAAAGGCTCACCCTCCTCCGCCTTCTCAGCGCCAGCGTCTGCGTCGCCGTCGGGATGAGGAGGATGGTAAGGGCGGCCTGAGGGGTCAGCCCAAGAGGGCCCCCGACCCCGATCCGCCAGGAATCTGAGGGGATGATCTGAGTAGGATGATGATGATGATGATGATGATGATGATGATGATGATGATGATGATGATGATGATGGTGATGATGGTGCTGATGATGCTGATGATGCTGATGATGCTGATGATGCTGATGATGCTGATGATGCTGATGATGCTGATGCTGAGGATGAGGATGAGGATGAGGATGAGGATGAGGATGACGATGAGGATGAGGATGATGATGATGGTGATGGTGATGGTGATTATGCTTATGATGGTGATGCTTATAATGCTGATGGTGATGGTACTATAGATGTACATGCCGATGTATATGTATACGTATATGTAGAAGTGTATGTATATGCATACGTAGATATAGTTTTAGATGTAGAGGTGGTTGTACGTGTAGGTACAACTGTATTTGTATATGTAGATGTAGATGTGCATATACATGTAGCTGTAGTTGTAGTCGATGTATACGTAGATGTAAATGTATATGTAGACGTAGACGCAGATGTACATGTAGCTGTCGATGCATGTTTATATGCGTATGTAGATGTAGATGTAGATGTAGATGTAGATGTAGATGTAGATGTATGTGTAGGTGTATATATACGTCGTTGCAGATGTAGATGTATACGTAAATGTATGTGTAGATGTAGATGTACATGTAGATGTAGATGTAAATGTAGATGTAGATCGTGGTGGTGGTGGTGGGCGCTAGTTTGATGTTGGTGGTGTTGGTGGTGAGGATGATGCTGCTGATGGACGATGATGGTGATTCTGATGACGTCGACGGCCATAACGACGGCGAGGGAAAAGGAGGAGAAGATGAAAGGCGGGATGAAGGCGCTGCTGCTTCAAAAAGAGGACCCAAAACCACAGGCTGGTGCGGACAACAACGGCAGCGCCCAGCTCTCGAGGTTATCCTCCTCCTCCTCCTCCTCCTCCTCCTTTTACTCCTCCTTTTACTCCTCCCTTTACTCCTCCTGTTACTCCTACTTCTACTCCTACTCCTACTCCTACTACTCCTCCTCCTCCTGCTCCTTTCCCTCCTGTTCCTTGTTCTCCTCCTTCTCCTCCTCCTCCTACTCCTCCTCATCCTCCCTTCTATTCCTCCTCCTCCTCTTCCTCTCCTCCTGCTCCTACTCCTGCTTCTCGTCCTCCTCCTCTTCTTTCTCTTCCTACTCCTCCTCCTCCTCCTGCTCCTCCTCCTCCTCATCCTCCTCATCATCATCCTCCTCTTCCCCCTCCTCCTCCTTCTCCTCCTCCTTTCCTCCTCTTCCTCTTCCTCTTCCTCCTCCTCCTCCTCCTTCTCCTCCTCCTTTGCTCCTCCTCCTCCTCCCTCCCTCCCCATTTTCCCCCGCCCTCCGGCGGCGGAGGCAGAGCCGTCGGCCGAGCCAGGGGCATGCGCCCAGCCGAGCCGCCGCCGACCGAGCCAGCGCCACCCGCGCCCGGCCGGCTGCTGCCCGAGGCGCCTCGCCGCGGAGCGCGCGTGCTGCCCGACAAGTCGTCGTCGCTGTCGTCGTGTTGCTGCTGATGCTGCTGGTGCTGCTCCTCCTCCTCCTCCTCCTCCTCCTCCTCATCCTCCTCCTCCTCCTTCTCCTCCCCTCCTCCTCCTCCTCTCCTCTCCTCCTCCTCCTCCTCCTCCTCCTCCTCCTTCCCTCTCCTCCTCCTCCTCTCCTACCTCCTCCTCCTCCCTCCTCCTCCTCCTCCTCCTCCTCCTTCCTCCTCCTCCCCTCCTCCTCCCTCCCCCTCCTCCTCCTCGTCCTCCTCCCCCTCCTCCTCCTCCTCCTCTCCTCCCTCCTCATCTCCTCCTCCTTCTCCTCCTCCTCCATCCTCCTCCCCTCCTCCTCCTCCTCCTCCTCCCTCCTCCTCCTCTATCCTCCTCCTCCTCCTCCTCCGTCTCCTCCTCCTCCCCTCCTCCGCCTCCTCCTCATCATCCTCCTCCTCCTCCTCCTCCTCCTCCTCCTCCTCCTCCTCCTCCTTTTCCTCCTCCTTCTTCTCCCGATGGCCGTGCTGCTGCTGCCGACTGCCGCCCTCCTGGCCCATCGGCGGATAGGTTCGTGGTCGGCGAGATCGACCCCGCGGGCTTCGCGCCCTTTGCGGCGGAGGGCGGCCCCGCCATGGCGGCCACGGCCGCGGCGGCCACGGGCCGAGCGGCGGACGCCCGTGGGACGGTCGGCCGCGGCATGCTGGGAACGGGCGGCGACGACGACTTCGACGTGGAGCTGGAGGCCGCCGACGGCGAGAGCGGCGGGGTGCAGCCTGGCGGTCCCCAGGCCGCTGCGGCCGCCCGCGCCCGCGACCTCGCCCAGCTCTTCGCCTCCTTCGTGGCGGAGATCAGCAGCTGAGCACGCCGTGGACGCCGCCTTCGACCTGGAGGCGGACGCCATGCTCCCAGGCCGTCGTGGGCAGAGCCTGGGGTCAAACCCAGGCTCGGCCTACGCTCAGGGAAGGATCCTGAGTGGGTCCCGAGTCGCGCGAGCTCGAATGCAAGATATTCTTAGGTCGAGTCTAGCCTCCTCCGCCTCCTCCTCCTCCTCTTCCTTGTTCGGTTCCTTTTCCTCCTCCTCCTCCTCCTCCTCCTCCTCCTTTTGCTCGAACTGGATTTCCCTCTCCAGTGCCATGTTGCCCTGCCTTTGCCCAAGCGTCTCTGGTTGCCAGTTGGACGGGTGTGGGTAAGGTCTTCGGCTCAAAGGATCCCTGTCCGCGCCCGCCTTCGACGCGCCTTTTTTCGCGCCGTCTACCATCCGCCTGATATACCGCGCTGATACACCGCGCCGCTGACAAGTAAGCCTTTTCACCTCTACGTCCCCGTGTCTAGCCCGTAGCGGAGCAGGGTCGCCCTTGCTCCCACCACGGCCGCCATGTCTCGCCTCTCGTCGACCGCAATGGTTTCCGCCCTCCGCCGCCTTCGACTTCGGCCAACCGCCTTCAACATCATCGCCTTCGTTCACTTCCGACCAATCGCTCTGGCAGGACCAGTGACCAGGAACGCGAATAACCAGCACTTCGACAACATCACCAAGACCTACAAGAGCCGCTCTGCGACCAATCCCAGGCATGCTTGGACTGTGTCCAGGCAGCTCGTGGACCCCAAACTGTCAGTGCCCCCGCCCGTGGGGGTAGCCTCAGGCGTTACACAGTTGCTCGATGCAACGTTCGCATGTGCGATGTCACAGCAAGTCCCCGAGCTCCTTGGGACTGTTTCGAGAGCCCTGGGAAAAGCAAGCAGTGAAGAGGCATTCGGCGACTGTCGCTGTTGCCGAGCGCGGAGGCAGTGGAGGGCATGACGAGTGGGACGCCCGCGGTCACGTTGATTCGCGGCGTTGAAGTCCCAGGAATTGCGTTTTGGCGCGATGCAGGATTGTCAGGACGCAGCAATCACGTCGATTCGCGGCGTTAAGTTCCAGGAAGTGCGTTTTGGTACGATTGTATATTATCTGAATATTATCATGATGTTGTCTTCCAGCGGATCAGTTCTTGTACGGTCCCTTTTTTCGGAAAAGAGCTTGGAAAGGAGGGTGTATTGCAACGTCGTCGATGCGCATTGGGTTCACAGTGGTCCTCGTTATCATCCCCCTCTGCCTCTTTCCCTTGCTCGGCCCCTGCCGGTACTGCCCGCCCTTCCTCTTCATGCTCCTCTTCTTTATTGTCGTCCTCGTGGTATTGTTGTCGATCCTACTCTCCCAATGCGGTCTCTCGTTCTGCTTGTTTGTGTCCTCCCATTTCTCGTTTGCCTCCTCTTTCTTCCCCGCCTCCTCCTCCTACTACTCCTGTTATCGTGAATGCTGGTCTTCCTCCTCGTCCTCCTCCTCGTCGTCGTCCTCCTCCTCTGGCTGCTGCTGGTCTGTCGATTGCTGCTGCTGCTGCAACGAAGCCGCCAGCAGGTGCCAGCCTCGCTGCTGGTGCTCCCGGAGGCGCTTGCAAAGTTGCTGCCAGGAGGATGAATGAGACGGAGGGGGAGTGAGGACAGCGGAGAGGGCGAGCAGAAGGAAGAGAGCGAAGGGGATGAACGCAGCACCGATTGCCAACTGGTCGCTGCCAGTCCGGCGAGGGAGGAGTGAGAGGAGAAAGAGAGAAGTGAGGCAATTGAGCAGGTAAATGAGGCGACTGAGCGGGGGAGCAGAAACATATGTAACACAGTTCGATGTGTTCAGGAGTTTGCTATTCATGCGGTTTGACACCACTCGTCCTACTTTCTCATAATCCTGTCGTGCTGCTCGTCCTTCTTGTCCTGCTTCTCTGCCCTCCTCGTGTTCCTTCTCCCCCGTCTATCCTGTCCCTCCCCCTCCTCCTCTTCTCCATCGACTGGAGGAGGACGTCGAGGACGAGGAGGAGGAGGAGGAGGGGAAGGGAGGGGGATATATATATATATATGGAGATAGTGATGATACTGGCGATGGGGATGATGATGATGATGATGATGATGATGATGATGATGATGATGATGATGTTGATGATGGTGATGGTGATGGTGATGGTGATGATGATGATGATGATGATGACGGCGATGATGATGATGATGTTGATGCGGATGGTGATGATGATGAGGACGATGATGATGATGATGAGGATGAGGATGAGGATGAGGATGAGGATGAGGATGAGGATGATGATGATGATGATGATGATGATGATGATGATGATGATGATGATGTTGCTGCTGCTGCTGATGATGATGATGACGACGATGATGATGTTGTTGGTGGTGGTGATGCTGCTGGTGATGATGATTCTGGTGGTGGTGATGATGATAGTGATGGCGATGGTGATGATGATGATGATGATGATCATGATGATGATGATGATGATGATGATGATGATGATGATGATGATGATGGTGGTGGTGGTGGTGATGATGATGATGATGATGATGATGATGATGATGATGATGATGATGATGATGATGATGATGATGATGATGATGATGATGATGATGATGATGATGATGATGATGATGATGATGATGATGATGATGATGATGATGATGATGGCGATGCTGATTGGTGATGGTTCATGGGTGATGGTGATGGACAGGATTGCGATGGCAATGATGAAGAGTTGAGTAGGAGTACGAGGGATGATGCTGATCATCGCAACGATGAGGAGGGATGTCTAGTAGCAGGATGACCGCATCGCAGCTAGCGGTGGTTGTCCCTCAGCTATCAAAGTCGCCCACGGCCAGTCATCGTCGCCCCTTGCTCTCGTGGAAGCGCAAGGCGATTGTGGCTGGCAGCCGATGCAAAACGCCTTCGGCCGAGGCTCAATCTTGGCTCCCCGAAGAGTTGTGAAGGATGGTAAATCCAGCAATTCTTTTCAATTGGTTCCTGGAGGGCCCTTCAGTGGCCGTCTTGAGGCTGTCTTCGGGCTCTCCGGGAGCCCTCTTGGACATTCTTGGAGCCTAGGGTCGGAAGACGCCCCCATTCCAGTTTCGGGGACGTTGCCCCTCAGCTATCTGGTAGCCCTTTGACCATCCTGCCACTGTGCTTGTTTCATGGACCCGAGGTCTCATGCAGGTGCGTTGGGTCCTGTTGGGGACCACTTGGGGGCCTCATGGGGGCCTCTTGGGTGCCTCTTGGGGCTTTCGGAGCCCCTTGAGGGCCTTTGCGGGCCTTTTTGGAGAGTCTTGGGGACCTGCAGGGCCATTTCAGGTACCGTGGGGGCGTTCATTCAGGAATGTGCCCAGGAGGCTTCAGACCCTGGAGGATTCGTTGTCTGATGGGGGCGGCGGCGACGCCCGTGGCCAAGCCTCAGTCGGCGTTCCACCAGCTTTCAGCCCCCGGGCTCCTAATCCAAGGCTTCCTTACCCGAGGCCCTCACCGCGCAAGCCCTCCTCTGGGGCGGCTCGTGGGGCCCTCCGGGGGACGTTTGGGCCTCCCTTGCGGCCTCGGGTCTCGGAGGTCTCCCGGGGCCGATCTCGGGCGCCTCTTGCGCTGTCGCGGACGCTCGCGGGACGGAAGAGGTGACAGACAGACAAGCCGTACGCCGGAGCGTGTGGGCGAAGGAATACACTGCCAGCTATTCTCACCGCTTCGCGGGAGAAGGCGGCACGCCTGCTCTCTAATCTACATGTTGCGGGCCAGGGGGAAGGAGGAGGAGGAGGAGGAGGAGCAGTCAGAGGAGGAGGAGGAGGAGGAGGAGGAGGGAGGGGAGGAGGAGGGAGAGACACGACATCAATCACAGATCTGTGCCACGCTGCTGGCTCGCAGACGCACTGCATTAGTGCGGACTCGTGACTGAAGAGGCGGGGGTGCCGAAAGCATGTGAAGTCCACGTCTGCCACGAACTGCCCGCAGAGCGGGAGCCACGGCGAGCCCCCCCCCGCGCCCTCAGGGAGGCCGGCCCGCAAGTCTCGCGACCGTGGCGGAGGGGGAGGAGGAGGAGGAGAAGGAGGAGGAGGAGGAGGAGGAGGAGGAGGAGGAGGAGGAGGAGGAGGAGGAGGAAGGGGAGGTGGAGGAGGAGGAGGCGAGCGAGGAGGAGGAGGAGGAGGAGGAGGAGGAGGAGGAGGAGGAGGAGGAGGAGGGGAGGAGGAGGAGGAGGGGGAGGAGGAGGAGGAGGAGGAGGAAGAGGAGGAGGAGGAGGAGGGCGAGCGAGGAGGAGGAGGAGGAGGAGGAGGGGGAGGAGGAGGAGGAGGAGGAGGAGACGGAGGACCAGATTGAACCCAGGATGAGTCAACGACGCTGCAATGCAGCCCCCCGTCCGAAGTCCCCTCCGCATGAGCTCCCAGGTGCCATGCTTCGCACTGCAAGAGGCGCCCCGTTGAAAGATCAGCACTCCCTGCCGGCCTGCCGCTCAGGCGAGGAGCCCCGTTTTGAAGAGGAATTGCCTCGCATCCTGCTGGCGAGTGAGAAGCTCGGCATCGCTCGGACGTGTGCATTTTTTCTTCGGCGAGGACCATCGAGGAGAATCCTCGATCATTTGGCGAAGAAAACCACGCACGAAACCGAAAAAAACACAGGGAATGGACGTCCGAGCGATGGCGAGTGAGAAGGAGCTGCGCAAGGTTACTCTAGACGCTTCGTGCTCACCGCCCGTCCGTTCCAGGTCTCGCCAGAGGAGGCGAAGAGGGCTCCATGGCGGGATGAACATAGTCCAGCAGTAGGGATCGATCCTCCCAGAGGTGCGCGTGTGTGTTTTGCATTTCTTCCTGCGCTCCATGCCTTCTCCATCCCATCGCCGAGTGGGCTCAGGTATGCTGGGTGGCTGATCGATGCCCGTCTTCATCACCGGCGGATCAGTAATGTGGACGCTGGCTCTCTGGGCCCTGGGCCAAAATGAGCCCAAGACGCCCCGCAGACGGCCCAAAAGTCGCCGACCAGGGCCGACGAGGGCTCAGACAAAACACCGAAAGGGGCCAAGAGGGGCACGAGGCGGCCAAGACGGGGTTCTCTGAACGGCCCGCGCGCGCGCATCCCCGCGCTGGCCCCTGCGACGTCCGCGCTTCCATTAAAACTGGGCTGGGACCTGGGCCCGTTTGGGCTCCGATTGGAGAGGCCTTACGGCCCATGCCGCCGACCCTGAACGACGACGACGACGACGACGACGACGACGACGAAGAAGACCGGGCTGGGATCTGGGCCGTTTTGGGCTCCGATTTGGGGTCCAAGTTGGGTTCAGAACTGTCCAACATGTATCCCGGAATGTGCCAAAAAGCTCCGTCGGAATTTGCGTGCGGCGAAATACATTGGCATTGGGTGGGAGGTACACCATTCCGCCGACCTCCAGAAGAAGAGGTGTGTGGCTTTCGATTTCGCACATGTTGCTTGTCGTTTGTCGTCGCGTTGCCTGCGTGTGCTTCGTGCTGAGTCGTCCCCCTCTCCCTCCGCGTCTGTTTCGGGGCTTCTTGGGGGCCTTTCGAAGGCCTAGGAGTCGGTCTCTTTGAGCATTTTCAGGTCCGCTGGGGGGGGGCCCTCTGGGTGCGTCCGGGGGGGCATGCTGGAGGTTTTGGGGGTCATATTTTGGGCTGTCTCTGGGCCCTCTTGGGACCTTATGGGCCGTCTTGGGCTGGTCCGGGGGGGCCTCTCGGATTGCTTTGGAGCTTCGGAAGGCCAACACGCCGGGAACGCAGAAATTAGATAACAACCGATCGGAAATGCATGATGTGTGCGTCTGGAGGCTCTCTTGGTTCGCTTGTGGCCCTCTCAGGGGCGTCTTGGGGGTGTCTCGTGCCTTCTTGAATCCATCTTGGGTGTTCTTGAGGCCGCTTGGGAGGGAGGAGGAGGAGGAGGAGGAGGAGGAGGAGGAGGAGGAGGAGGAGGAGGAGGAGCCTCCCCAGTGTGTTGCAGCCCTTCTGGAGCCATCTCAGACGGCATCTTGGACATCTCGGCGGCCACGGAGGGTAACGTCGGAGGCTCCGAGGGCCCCAGGGGTGCGTTGAGGAGCTCGTACCCTGACTCCTCCTCCTCCTCCTCCTCCTCCTTCCTCCTCCATGCCTCTGCTCCTCCTCCTCCTCCTCCTCCTCCTCCTCCTCCTGCTCCTCCTCCTCCTGATCTGCCGTACTTTTTGGGGCGATTTCGCAGGCAGAGCGGGAATTGTTTCCCTTCTTTTCCAGCTCCTTCGATGTAGATTTCCGCCCTGCTTTGCCGTCGCCGTTTCCGCTATTCTTTTGCTTAAGTGTTCGAAAGTCGGGTGCATGTCCAACGCCGGCCCATGTTGCGCGCCGTTGTCGACTGACCGAGTGGTCTTTCGCGGTGCGGAGCTGCAGGGGTGGCGGCTGTCTTTATCTGGTTTTGAGGGCCTCCTGTAGGCCTCTTGGGGCCGAGAGCTCGAAACATCTGTTCGCGTTCCCCGTATGGGTTTTCTCTTGGAGCCGTCTTGAGAGGCTCCTGGGCCGTTTTGGATGCCTCTGGTGCTGTCTTGGAGCTCTCTTGGACCGATCTGGGCTCCTCCTGGAGCGTTGTTGGGCTCCTCCTGAGGTCCTGAACCCTCTTGGGCTGTTTTGGGGCCATCTTGTAAGCATCTGCGGTAATCTTGGAGCCTCGGGAAGCGGAAAAGGCGAGAACGGCAAATTCGTTGATTTCTTGACGCTTCGCGTATCCCCACCAGCTGGCCCTGTTGGACTTCGTCCCCCGGCCTCGCGGCTCTGTGACCGACGCAAAGATGGCTTCGCCTCGTCACTGTCCAGAACCGCACTCTCACTCCCTGGGTTTCTTAAAGGTACAGCGGCCTTCAGCTGCTCTTCTCTGCTGTTCCCTGGGAGCGACCTTGGGCGGGTGGCGTCTCGACAGCGGGTCTTCGAACGCATGACCAGATGGTGCACTTCTGAGCCGTTGAGGTACGCCTCCGGCACGGTGGCGTGGTGTGCCCACCCGTAAGGACGTTGTTGCCGCGCCCGGACGCCTGGAGACAGCACGCTCTGCGCACTGGAACTGCACGCCGAGCCAGTCCTGCGCGTAACGGCCTGGGGATCCGCCCCAGCGGAGTCGCAGGAACCGCTGGTCTGCAAGTTGGGCGACAGCGTCAGCTGCTGGTCGATCGGAGCGGCACCGGGTGCAGAATACCAGGCCGCGCCACGAGCGCCGTCGGCTGGCGACCACAACCCTGTGCACCAGATGTGTCAATGCCGTCTCCCGTTCCCTGTCAGGTGTCGTCGGCGATGGAGCGGTCTGGACCGTCATAGCTGCAGCGTCGGCCATTGCCTCGGCGAGAATCCCAGGCCAAGGTCCGCGATACTCGTATACTGCCATTTCGGTCTGCTTGGCTCGTCGGAGGGCCGACGATAGGCTCATGTTGGCGACGGTGCTCATGTGGCAGTTGCGCACCCACCTGCGCGCACCTGCCACAGTGTTGCCGCGGGTGGTCAGCGGACGGAGCCCATACCTGTGCCTAGTGCGTACGCCTGCTTCTTTGTTGGCCGCCATTTCCTGTTGCCCGGACTGGCATCATCCCATCGTCGCTCCCCCGCTCTACCTGGATGAGCGGCCCTTAGCTCCCTGGGCTTCTTCGTGACCACTGGCAGTGGCTTCGGCTGCAGCTGGTAAGCGGCTCTGTGCATGCTTGTCACGTTTGATGCTCCCTGGTACGCGTTCCTGCTCTTATCTTTGGTCGCTAGTCGCCTGCGACTTGTGCCTGGTTGAAGATCGGGACAGTTGTACCTTCCGCACAGCGCCACATCATGTTACCTGATGGCTCGCTTGCGGACGCATCTCTGTTCGCGGTTGTCTTCCCGGTCCTGACGTGCCTTGCTCGGTTACAGACACCACGAACTTCGCGCCTTTTGGCTGCGTTGGTGCGTACGCTGAAGCTGCGACGGTACGCTGGCGCTGTCAGAGTCCCACCTCTCCCCACGGTTTGCAGTCAGGCGACAGCGTGCGTGTCTCTCTGACGCTTCTGCTTGAGCATGGCTCAGACACCCTGGGACTCTATGGTACACCATTCGCTGCGCCGAGGTTGGCAGGCTCCATACTTCGATAGTGTCTCAAGCGGCGTACTGCTGGACCATGGTCTCAGACACCTTGGGGTTATTTGCATCGCGCCATTTTGGCAGCGTAGTTGCAGACTCCCTGGGTGCTGGTCCCTGGGCGTCAGACACCCTGGGTTGCAGCACCCTTGCACCCGCCGCCCCGGCGCCGGCCGCGGCCCGCGCGCGCGTCCGGCCAATTAGTTTCGGCCGCAGCCCGACCGTTACTCGCCGCCGCTGGCGCTCCCGCCCGCGGCTGTGAAAAAAAATACCCCCACCAGCCCATCCTACACCAGGTACTCGAACGAAGAGCGCCGATGATCGGCAGCTGTTCTTCTCCCCCTCTTCCTCCTTCTCCTCCGCCTTCTTCCTCCTCCTCCTCCTCCTCTCCTCCTCCCTCTCCTCCTTCTTTTCCTCCCCCTCCTCCTCCTCCTCCTCTTCCTCCGCCTCTTCATCCTCCCTGGTGGCGTCTTGGAGGTATCTTCGAACGGTTTGGTGGGCTCTTGGGCCTTGCGGGCGTTTTGGACGCTCTGACCGCTCGCGATTTTGGCTTCCTCGCCGAGGCCGTTTTGGACGCTCTGACCGCTCCCCGCCCCTCCTGTCCAGGTCAGCGGGGAGGGGGTAGGGGGAGGGGTAAACCCCTCCCCGAAGGGAAAGAGGGAGGGGTGGAAGAGGAAACGCCCGCAAACCACCGACGCCCAGAGGGCTGGTGGGATTGCCTCGATCAGGGAAGTGGACAGCACACAGAGGAAGCCAGTATGAGACATCTTGGGATTTCTTGAGCCATCTTGGAGGTCATTTTGGGCTCTCCGAGACGCTCTTGGAGTCATCTTAATCAGTGCCCCCCCCCCAGAGGCCAACATGTGGCTAAAACCTTAGTGCAAACAATGGTTTGACATTATCGCCGAGGCCTCTGGGAGCACCTTGGGTGCCTCTGGGGGGTCTCTTGGGGCCTCTTGGGGGTCTCTTGGGGGCCTCCTGGGGGCCTCTTGGGGGGCCTCTTGGGGCCATCTTGGGGCCATCCTGCGGCCTCTTGGGGCATCCTGGGGGCCTCTTGCGGCCATCGTGGAGGAAATCGATCAAAGAAGAGGGGAGCTTTAATTAGCCCTGCCCCCTCAGAAGGCCAAAATGGGGCCAAAACCATAGTAAAATCAATGATTTTGGCTTCCTCGCCGAGGCCGTTTTGGACGCTCTGACCGCTCCCCGCCCCTCCTGTCCAGGTCAGTGGGGAGGGGGTAGGGGGAGGGGTAAACCCCTCCCCGAAGGGGAAGAGGGAGGGGTGGAAGAGGAAACGCCCTAAACCACCGACGCCAAGAGGGCTGGTGGGATTATGTTTTCTTGCTTATGGGGGCTCTCTCGGAAGGCTTCTTGGTGGCCGCTAGGGGGGTCTTGAACGCGTCGCGGGCCGTCTGGAAGCGCTTTGCCTGAGGGGATTTTTTCGGGAGGCCTCTTGGTGGCCTCTTAAACGCGTCAGGTCGTTGGCACGTGCTTGCGTGCTCGGGGGGGCATTTGGGGAGCCTCCTGGGGCCGCTTGGGGGCCTCTTGAGGTCCTCCTGAGGGCCTGTTGGGGGCCTCTTGGGGCCTTTTTGGGGGGCCTCTTGGAGACTCCTGGGGGCTTCTTAGGGCCGAGGGCTCGAAATGTTGTTTCGTGTTCCCCCCCTGGGACCTCTCTTGGGGCCTTCTTGGGCCTTTTGGAAGCCTCTTGGGCCGTCTTGGAGCCCTCTTGGGTCCTCTTGGGGCCCTCCTGGGGGCCTCTTGGGCCCTCTTGGGGCGGTCTAGGGAGCCTCTTGGGCCGTCTTGGGGTGACGGGAAGCCGAAAAGGTGGAAACGCCAAAATCTGTCCAAAACCTCAGGAAAAGCAGTGAATTTTGCTCCTTGGGGCCCTCTTGAGAGTGCTCTTGGAGGCCTTTTGGCCGTCTGGGGCCATCTTGGGCATCTTGGAGCGATCTTGTGGCATCTCGCAGCTCTCTTGTATCATCTTGAGGGGCTCTTGGCGGCCTATTGGCCTATCTTGGGGCTCTCTGGACGCGTCGCCCAGGAGGAAAACCATCTCTGATCCGAGTCTCCCGGGACCTGCCCGGGGTAGTTTCCGTCCGGGGGCCCCCAGGGACCGCCCAGCGCGCGAAGTAGAATTGTTGTAAAGCAGTTGCCAGAGATCTTAGCACGCCTCTGGCCCGCTGGATCGGCGAATTCTGGGATCGTGGGCCCGCTGGCCCGCGATCGGCGAATTCGGCACGCCTCTGGCCCGCTGGATCGGGGAGGAGGAAAGGGGGAGAGGGACAGCGAGCGGGGGTCGGCAGTCGGCTCTGGTCCTGCGCTTCGCGGGCGCACGTCGTGGCCGCTTGGGCTCAAGATCAGAACCGCTGTTCAGACTTGGGATCGATCAGCATCACCTCGGAATGCATTCGCGCCTGCATCTCTGCCGCCTCAGGCGTCACTGTATACGGTTGCCCGGCACATCGGCCAAGCTGGGCTGCCGGGCGCCGGTCCGAGGCGCGGCGCAGGCTCCTCTGCGGCCAGTGCCGCGTGGTTGGCTCCACGCGAGCGGAGCCCACGCGGCGAAGCAGCGCAATCACAGGCTGACTGCAGAGGAGGAGCAGGAGTTGGTGGAAGGTGCGCCCACATCCACATTGCCAGGCCTATCCCCGGAGTGCTTAGCAGCCGATCCAGAGGCGGCAGCCATCACCCTTGCGGAAGAGGGTCTGCTGCGCTTGAACGGCATACTGGGCACGGGCATGGCCGCAGCTCTGCACGAACATGTTGATGACATGCTGAAGCAAAGCATACAGAGTGTAGCCGATGGTTCCATGCCCTATTCAAGTTTGTTTGGAGAGTTTATGTGCCGTGAGCACAGATATGATCTGCTATTGCCTCTTGACGCCGTGGTTTTGCGGACAGTGCGTCATGTGATTGATCGTGTGTCCCCTCTTCTCGAGCATGCGATTGGCGAGGATTGCACGATGTGCGAGCTTGAAGCGATTGTGAATGATCCGGGCTCCCATGCGCAGCCATTGCACTTTGACACGGATTTGGCTTCTGTCAGGGTGGCCATGCTAATTGCGTTGCAAGATGTCACGCCCTCGATGGGTCCTACTGCGTTTTACCCGTGCACAAATACCGCTGAGTGGCATATTATTTACAAAACCAGGGGTCAAGAGTTAGAAGACCTCCTTGGGTCCTTCCCACGCGTTGTAGCAGAAATGTCTGCTGGCGATGCTTTTGTGTATGATACACGGGTTTTGCATTATGGTGGCGCGAACACCAGTCATGTTCCAGCCGATTCAGGGAACACACAAGACCCCGCAGGTGGCAAAGCCCTTGCCGCTGTTGCAAGCACTGGCGTTGGAACACGGAGAACGATGTTTGGCATATCGTTCCAGGTCGAATCCGGATGTTTTAGAACTGACAACGCCAACATGAGACGAGAGTACCGAAGCAAGTATCGAATAGCAGAAGCTTGCAGATGGACCCCAAGTTGAAGAATTGAAGTTGAGCGTAAGGCCAAATCCATGGGACGAGGTGCGAGTATTGAAGCGCGCGGGATCGGAAAATTCGAAGTCCCCATCCGAAGTGTTTAGAACTTGTTCGCCTGGTGGATTCCACATGAGTCACTGCGCTCTCCGTTATTCCGATCTTCAGTGTCTGAAAATATTGATTTCACCTGAGCTCCTTAAAAACAGTTTCCAACTGATTATGTGAACTTGTAACGCTCAGGTAGTACCTCTCTCCATTTACGTATTAAAAAGTTCTTGGTGGATGCTTCCGCCAAGAACGCCAAATGGTCTACAGTGCCAAATGGTCTACAGTGCCAAATAGTTTACAGTGTCAAATGGTCTACAGTGCTGCATGGCAACTTGGAGCTGCAGGGTGCAAGCGCGTGCTTGGGCCATACACCCCGAGGGTTGCACTTCCCTTTGATTCGGAGACTCGGCGAGCGCCATGCCCCCCCTCGGGGACGAGGTTGCTGCAGGCGAGGCTGCGCAGCAAAAGACAGATGCTATTCGAAGATGCAATGAGCGAGAAGCCCACGTGGAAGAGGAGCTGTCCTTCACCCTTGCAGCTCCTGCAGGCCACTAAGGCGAGTGTGTGCGGCGCTGGGGCGAAGGCACCACTTTGAAGAGAGACCGCCCTCCATCCCCGCTGCTGTTGCAATAGGGGAACAAAAAGTGACATAAACATAAAAACTCGGAGGTCCGCGCGGATTTCTCGGATCGGCGCTGGGGCACCCCGGCGGCGCCTCCGGCGCCGCCCCTGGCGCGCTCCGCGCGCCAGGGAGGAGGGTCCAGCGCCGATCCGAGAAATCCGCGCGGACCTCCGAGTTTTTCTGTTTATGCCAGTTTTCGTTCCCCTATGCAAGCTTTAACGACAATGGGACCCCACGTTCCGTTCGTGGAGGCGTTGCAAATTTCAAGCTTGAGGATCAGAGATTGCAAGGAGGTCTCAGGCGAAACGCCTGGTCCGCACTACCGACGCGTCACGGGGCGTGGCGGGGATGATTCATCTTTCGAGAAAATGGAAGTGGCATGTTGGCCGGGATTGGGCCCTCTTGGGGGGCCCTTGACGACGGCTGGAGCACACTCACTTCTCGTCCGTTCGGCTCCTCCTGCTCATGCGGTCCCAGGACGGGGCAAGAGATATGCAAGCCGCGTTGACGAGCCTTTGAAGCGTTCCCTACACGATGCCAGAATCGCCACAACAACTTGCGCGCAACGTTCTTAGCTTTCAGTGTTCAATGTTTTTAGTCATAACTTACGTTACTCAGGAGGGGAACAAAAACACACAGACACAATTAATCGCCGACTCCCAGGAAAATATGGGAAAATATGGGAAGTGGGGGGGAAGACAGAAACCCAGAAGATATAGGAAAATATGGGGGAATATTTTTATTTGTGTGTATTTATTTGTGTGTCCTGGGGCCCCTTCAGTTACGTATGTGTTTTAATGTTCTTGGCTCCCTCGCTTTAAGAGCGCCCCAACACGGCCCAAGAGTGGGCGCCCCCGGAGCGGCGAAGAGTCTCCAAGACGGCCCCAGGGGCCCCCAAACCGGTTGATCCCGACCCCGCAGACGCCCAAGAAGGCCCTAAGACCGTCCAAGAGCGCTCCAATGAGGGCCCAAGATGCCTAAAGACGGCCCAAGGGAGTTCCCAAGAGGATCCCCAAGAGGGTCTCCAAATGCCAAGTGGTGTTTGTTTCTTTCAGGTCGTTGCTTTGTGTTTTCAGTATTCTCGCTTGCCTGGCCTTCCCAGATCTCAAGACACGCCGGGGATCCTCTCCAGTCGACCTAGGATGGCCCAAGAGGGCCGCAAGAGCGGCCCGAGAGAGCTCGAAGGCTCGAATCTGCCTCCTGCCCGATGTCTCTCTCGCAAGCTGTGGTCGCCGTGGGTCCGATCACCATGGCCGCGCGATTCGGGGGATGCCAGCCCTTTGTGTGCCCCGGAAACGGCAGGGCCGTTTTTTCACCGTTTCAAAAAAAATGTCACTTGAAAGTGGAAACGGCAAAAAAACGGAGACCGGAAACGGCAAAAAAAACGGCTCCAGGATTGGACCCGGAGCCGGGACCGGTAAAAAAACGGCGACGGAACCGGTAAAAAAACGGCGTTGGAACTGGCAAAAAAACGGCAAAACGGAACCGGTAAAAAAACGGCCCTGCCGTTTCCAGGGCCCACTGAGTGCCAGCCCATCACCAGGAAGGCTTTTGGCGTGGCCACAACCAACGGCCTGTGCGAGAATGTGCGGATGGACAGTGGCCTCCCTTCGGGAGCAGCGCTTTTTATTAACTTTTGTAGGCGTCGGCGACCAGAAGCGCGGGGCTTTGGTCACTTTGGTCACTTTTAGGGAGCCGCGCCTTTGGTCACTTCTGTGAGAAAAAAAGCTCGAATACAGTTCAAGAGGACTCCCAGAGTGCGTCCTGGGTCACCCCAAGGCCGCGTCAGAGGCCCCCAAGACAGCCCAGCAGGATCCCGAGATAGCCAATAACGAGGTCGCACCCAACGCCCCTCAAGGCCCTCGATAGGACGTGCACAAGGGACCCTGACCGCACGAATATGAACTTCCGCATGTATCTGCAGGTTTTTGCCCTTATCGCCTTGCCGGGAGTCCGAAACCCCAAGACCGCGCGATGTACCTCCCAGATCGCGTCTTGAAGGTGGAAGAAGCCCCCAATAGCTCCCTCACCCTTCCTGCCTCAGGGCCCCACTGACGCGCTTGAGCTCATTCACCTGGGGGTCACGGCTACCCTAGCTCACGGGTTAGGGAAGTGGATGATTGTGGATGAACGATGGGCAGCGGCGGAAACCGTAGGATGATGATAATGATGATAATGCTGATAATGATGAGCTGGGTAAGAGAGAACGACAGGGTTGATGATGCTGATAATGATGATAATGATGATGATGATGATGATGATGATGATGATGATGATGATGCTGATGCTGATGCTGATGCTGATGCTGATGCTGATGCTGATGCTGATGCTGATGCTGATGATGATCATGATGATGATGATGCTGCTGCTGCTGATGAGGATGATGATGATGGTGGTGGTGATGGTGATGATGGTGGTGATGTTAATGGTGGTGGTGGTGATGATGATGATAGTGATGATGATGATGAGGAGGAGGAGGAGGAGGAGAAGGAGGAGGATGAGGATGAGGAGGAGGAGGAGAAGGAGGATGAGGAGGAGGAGGAGAAGGAGGATGCCAAGGATGAGGAGCAGGGGCTGGGTGACAGAGGGTGTTCCACCCCTGGACAGAGGCCAAGGCAGGTGTCACGCTGGAGCTAACATGAGGGGTCACGGCTGCCCCAGCGCTGGCTCGTAGAGACTTTGTTTTTGAATTTCACTCTGGAGAAGTAGCCTTAAGTCGGGCCTGTCTCTCTACAGGAGGGATATTCTAAAGTAGTCGAAAAATAGTCTGGGGATGATGTTTTGAGCATTTGTTTTACCATGCTGGAGTATTCTTGATTATGTTTAAGCTAAAAGTAGCCGTGGAGGGCCATGGTTGCTCCATGTTGTCCGGGCGCTGGCTCGTATAGATGATGCCTTCGAGCTACACCTTGGACAAGTAGCCCGGGCAGATGCCACGTTTTTGCTGTTGTGGGGGGTCACGGTTGCCCCGGCGCTGGTTCGTAGAGATAGCGTGTTCGAGCCGCACGTTGGATCAGTAGTCTAGGCAGGTCTCACGTTTGAGCTGATTTGAGGGGTCGCGGTTTTCCCGGCGCTGGCTCGCACAGATGATTTTTTCGAGCTACACGTTGGACAAGTAGCGCAGGCAGGTCGCACGGTTGAGCTAATCTGTGGGGTTCAACGTTTTTTTGCATTCTCGCTGTTTCGGCTTTCCCACCGCCGAAGACGGACCGACCAGTCTCCTTGGCCGCAGCGAGACGGCCCCAAAGGTCGCCAAGAGCGTCCCACGGCCCGAGGGAGCTCCCAGAGAGCCCAACGGGGCCTTTAGAGGGCGTCCAATAGCACCCCAAGACCGCCCCAGAGGCTCCCAAAGACGGCCCAAGAGGTTCCCGAGATGGCACCTAATGGCGCCGAGGCCGCTCAAGAAGCCCTAGAAAGCTCACCAGAGGCCCCCCAAGCCATAAAGATGACCTCCAGGACGGCCGCAGTGAGCAACAATCATTGGTTTTCCCATGGCTTCTGTGAGACTGTTCGACTTCTCGCGTGTTCGGGTTTCCAAAGGCGGGAGATCGCAAGACCGCCCCAGGAGGGTCCAGGAGAGCCCCAGGACGGCCCAAGCGAGCTTCAGGATGCCCCAACAGGGCCCCCAGAGGACGTCCAAACAGAAAGCGGTCTTTGGATCTGGAGCCCGCGCAGCGAGCCCCTGGCAGGAAGATAATTCGGCCTCGACGGCGCAGCGCAGAGCGCCACCCCTCGGCTTGGAGCTGTCTGCTTCGGCACCCGCCACCTTGCCACGCGAAAGCAGCAAACCGACGGGACTTGAACATGCCGCTTCCAGGCAGTGTCCTCGCCTTTTCCTCTGCGTGTTTTTGCCTTGCTAGATTGCGTCCGGTGCCCCAACGGCCTTTCCGGCAGAGACAAGCCGCAGCCGTAGCATCGAAGACCAAGCAGCAAGCCATCTTTGGATCTGGCGCCCGCGCAGGTAATCACATCTGCCGTGAAAGGCAACGGCTGCGAAGGCGCCGTGCAGAGCGTCATCCCTCGCGTTTGAGCTGTCTGTTCCCAGCCATCTTGTGGTGTTGGGTCCTGGTTTTGAATCCGCAGCGCCGCGCTCCGCCTCACCTTCCTCCTCACCCTCTCCTCCCATGCTTGCCTCCGCCCTCCGCATGTAAAATATGTCGGCGCACCCTTCAAACGCTTCGTGGCTCCATAGGGAGCTCGACCGAAGACATCAATGGCTGCATTCGCATGGCACCACCGCGTCCATTTCGGCACACCACTCACACGCTTCGTGGCCCCATTGGGAGCTCCACCGAGGGCCCCCGTGATTGCGTTCGCATGGCACCGCCGCGCCGATTTCGGCACACCTCTCACACGTTTCGTGACCCCACAGGGAGCTCCACTGAGAGCCCCAGTGGCTGCGTTCGCATGGCGCCACCGCGCCCACTTCGGCACACCTCTCGCAAGCTTCGCGGCGCCACAGGGAGCTCCACCGAGGGCCCCAGTGGCTGCGTTCGCATTGCACCTCCGCAACCAACGCTTCGCAGCCTCATAGGGAGCTCAACCGAGGGCCCTAGTGGTTGCGTTCACATTGTACCTCCGCGCCCAATTCGGCCCAGCTTTTACACGTTTCGTGGCCCCATGAGGAGCTCCACCGAGGGCCGCAGTGGCTGCGTTCGCGTGGCGCCACCGCGCCCGCTTCGGCACACCCCTCGCACGCTTCGTGGCCCCCTGGGGAGCTCCACCGAATGCTCCAGTGGCTGCGTTCGCGTGGCACCACCGCCCATCTCGGCACACCCCTCGCACGCTTCGTGGCCCCCTGGGGCGGGTGCCCAGGGGGCGGCGGGCGGGGAGCGCGGCCGCGAGGAGGCGCGCCAGGCCGAGTAGGTCGACGTCCAGGAGCCGACGAGGAGAAACACGTCGGCATCAGCACACGGAGGGGCGTTCGCGGAGGGTCCACCAGCTCCTCCTCCTCCTCCTCCTCCTCCTCCTCCTCCTCCTCCTCCTCTTCCTCTTCCTCCTCCTCCTCCTCCTCCTCCTCCTCCTCCTCCTCCTCCTTCTTCGGTCCGCCCTCGCCCAGCTCTCCTCCTCCTCCTCCTCCTCCTCCTCCTCCTCCTCCTCCTCGCACGCCGCGCTCCCGTGGCCCCCTGGGGAAAGCTCCACCCGAAAGCCGCACTCCGCGTGATCCACCGAAAGCCGCACTCACAGCTCGCCAGGAAACGTTCTGCCCCCCCCGCCGCGCCATTTCCTGCCGCTCGACGTGAACCCACCTCAACGGGCTCGCGCGGCGGTTCCCGGTCCACGAATCGCCCAGCTCCTCCTCCTCCTCCTCCTCCTCCTCCTCCTCCTCCTCCAATCCTCTCTCCTCCTCCTCCTCCTCCTCCTCCTTCAACCCATCCCTCCTCCTCCTCCACCTCCTCCCTCTCCTCCTCCTCCTCCTCCCTCCTTCATCCCATCCCTCCTCCTCCTCCTCCTCCTGCCTCCATCTCCTCCTCCTCCTCCTCCTCCTCCTCCTCCTCCTCCTCCTCCTCCTCCTCCTCCTCCTCCTCCTCCTCCTCCTCCTCCTCCTCCACCCACCCCCTTCTCCTCTTCCTCCTCCTCCTCCCTCCTCCTCCTCCTCCTCCTCCTCCCCTCCTCCACCTTCATCCCATCCCCCTCTCCCTCCTCCACCTCCTCCTCCTCCTCCTCCTCCTCCTCCTCCTCCTCCTCCTCCTCCTCCTCCTCCTCCTACTCCTCAGTATTGGCATTCTGCCGAGGTCCCCCGCAGGGCACTCTTCCGCAAGTTCGGCCTCCAGAGTGCCCCTGGCAGCTCTCGAAGGCCTCCAAGATCGCACCCAGACGGGCCCGAGAGGGCCCGAAGCATGCCCCTGCACGGCCCCAAGACTGCCGAATGAGCTCCCCCCACGACGCCGCAGGAGCGCTCCCCGAGGAGCTCCGGACGGCCCCACGGGGCCCTCGGCCAGCCCAAGATGAGACCCGGACGGCCCCAGGATGCCATTGAGAGACCCGCAGCAAAAACCCAGGGGGCCCGAGTCTGACGGCAGGGGCCCCAAGACGGTCGAGAAGGACCCCACCACGGCCTCGGGAGAGGCCCCCCGAGAGGCTCCTGTGGACACGCCCCCCGCCAAGCCGCACGGGCTTTCGCACGCCCCCCAGGAGCCCCTCCGACCGCGCCCTCTCAGGCAGTCGAGCCATGCACACCAAAAAACGGTCGAGTCCAGGTTGGCCTCCAGCCCTATCCTTCCTGCCCTCCTCCTCCTCCTCCTCCTCCTCCTCCTCCTCCTCCTCCTCCTCCTCCTCCTCCTCCACAATTACTCAATATGAACACTACTCTCCTCCTTCCCCTGATGACGGTTTGGGAGTGTTCGCCCCCCCCGCGTATTGTTTTTTACACACAGGATTCCCCGGAGTTGGGTTGTCGCCTGCATTTGTTCCCAAAATGCTGCTGTCGCTGAGGCGCCGGCCTCATTTTCGGGCCCCGCTCGTTCCGAATCGTGCTCCCGCTACAGCGCTGGCCTCATTTCCGTGCTTCCGCTCGTTCCGAATCGTGCTCCCGCTGCAGCGCTGGCCTCATTTCCGCTCTTCCGCTCGTTCCGAATCGTGCTCCCGCTGCAGCGCTGGCGTCATTTCCCGTGCCATGCCACGGCATGCAATGCAATGCTAGGTTGCGTTCCGCTGCGCGATGCCATGCCTTCAGCTGAAGCTGTGATATGCAGTGCTTAAGTGCCACTTCGTGCTATGCCATGCTACGCTTTGATCTTCAACGCCATGCTATGCAATGTTATGTTCGGGGCCGCTGTGCGATGCCATGCTTTGCGTTGCAAAGCTTTGTGATGCAATTCTTCACTAAGTAATGACAACATAAACCTAAACAAAAAATAAACTAATAAACTAAAAACTAAAAACTATTAAATAAAAACTATTGCGTCCATTACGACACTAAAAAAAAAAAATATACACATAAACTAAACCTAACTGAAAAACTATAAATCTCCTAATAAATAAAAAACTAATTATTCATAATCATAGCCTACGGCTAACCCTAATTATGAATTAACGAGAGACCAATAAAAAAAGTTAACTAAAAACTTAAACTAAAGAGCACTAAATCTCATACAACAAACAAACCTAGAAAAATTTACTTCTACACACCCTAAACAATAATCAGTCAAACCATATACCAACCTCCCCAACACCACCCCCCACAACCCCTAACCGGCCACGCACTCCATTCGTGACAAACGAACTCTGCTTGTCGGTGCTCACTACGCCATGCCATGCCGTGCTCAACAATGCATCGCGTACCCTTTCGGGATCATTGCCCTGCTCGACATCCGACTGTGCGAGTAGAGAGGGGATCTACGCCATGGTAAGGTATGGGAGGGAGGGGTAGGATGTCAGATATGACGCGAGCGCACCTAGCTTGTCCTCCTCCTCCTCCACCACCCTCCACCCTCCACCCTCCACCCTCTACCCTCCACCCTCCACCCTCCACCCTCCACCCTCCACCCTCCATCCTCCTCCTCCTCCTCCTCCTCCTCCTCCTCCTCCTCCTCCTCCTCCTCCTCCTCCTCCCTCCTCCTGCCGCCATCATCATCATCATCATCATCATCATCATCATCATCATCATCATCATCATCATCATCATCATCATCATCATCATCATCATCATCATCATCATCAGCAACACTTCTTTTTCCCGCCTAGACGTGCATCCCATTTCTCATTGAAGTGTCCCTCCTCGCAGTGTGTTTCATCTTCCTCCGCCTCTACCTCTATCAAAGACGCCTACGGTGAATCGCCGCCGCCCCCTGCCTTTTGGAAGCGCTTATGTAGCCGAACATTGTGGCCAGAGCTCGGCCAAGCTATCGGACCGTGTGTTCCCCCAGCCGTTGTGGAAACCCTTTTGGGAGACCATCGGGGAGAAAGAAGAAGTGGAGGAGAAATTTCTTCGGGCTTTCCTGAAGCCTCTCTCGGAAGCCTTTTGGGGGCCTCTCGGGCCGTCTTGGGCTATCTTGGGGCCATCTTGGGCCAGCTTGGGTGCGTCTTGGGCTGTCTTGGAGACATGTTGCGGCCATCTTGGGCTCTCCTGAGGCTACCTTAGACGTCTTGGGGGCATCTTGTGGGCCACCTTCAGCCATCCTGGCCGCCTTGGAGCAGGACGACCGACGACCTGGAAAGTTTACGGACCCTCCTCCCTCCTCCCTCCTCCCTCCTCCCTCCTCCCTTCTTTCTCCTCCCTCCTTCCTCCTCCTCCTCCTCCTCCTCCGTAGCCATTTTGGCTCAAGCCATTTTGGCTCAAGCCATTTTGGCTCAGGCCATTTTGGCTCAAGCTGAGTCATTGCTGGCCTGAGGTTCGCGACCTCATCAGTTTCCCGCTTTGTGAGCTCCTGCCGGAGCAACTTTTCACGATTACAGGTACGAATCCCCTTGCACGGCGCTCGGCGGCCCAGGTGCTGTCATGCCGCCTGGAGGGGTACAGCAGCCTTCCGAGTTCCGGCAGCGGCGCCGCGCGTGGGCCCGTCCATGGCTGTGCAAGTTCTGCCACTCGGCCAGGACGGGCGACCGCTGGTGGAACAGAGCCGACGCCATGGTGTGTCCGCAATGCCATCGCAGCAGGGGTGTGTGCTTCCGTTCCGTGCGGGAGTCAGGGCCGCCCTCGGTCTCCGTGCGCAAGGATCAGAACACCAGCACCGACACATCCGCCGAGGTCAAGAGCTTGCAGCGCGAGCTCAAGAAGCTCCGCGAGGAGCTTCAGCAGCGCTCCAAGGGTTCCGACCCGGGCGCGATGGCGGTCGATGAGGCGCCCAAGGAGCTCGACCTGGGCGCGAGGGCCAAGGAGCTCAGGGCGCTGCTCGACCAGTCAGCTTCGATGTCCGAC